AAAGCAGCCCAGCGGCTGCCATCAGGATGGGTATAAAAGGGCGGTGGGGGGGGGGGGGGGGGGGGTGGGGGGGTATGGTATGGAGACTTTAACAGAGGGCAGCCAGCCAGGAGACCAGGCTGTGAAGTCACAATTCCCTTTCCAGTCCACTTCCCTTCCCTCTGAGCCCTACTTCTCCCTGCCCCCCAACTCCCAACATTGGGGCCATTCACAGGGCCCTCCGCAGCTGCCCTTCCTTCACTGGCTTCACCCAGCTCCTTCCCATTGAAAAGGCCCAAGAGGAAGACCCAGCTGCAGCTCCAGATGTGGATGGAGACCTCTGGGGGAGGGGAAGAAGGTGAGTCTGACTCCAAGCCTCTTGCATCACCCTCAGCTGATGAAACTATGTCAGAGATTTTTGACAAGGGTATGGATGGCTTTAGGGTCTTTAGGATCCAGCTCTTGGTGCTATCATTCTCCCCACTTTCTCCCCACCCCCCACCTGTGAGTGCTCCATCCAGAAGCCCAAATCCCCATCTAGGATCAAATTTCAAGGTTATATCAGCACATCATCTTCTGTCATCTTCACTCTCATTGAACAGGAGGCCATTCATCCCCCTAGAGTAGGGGTGGTGTGTGTAGACGGTCCTGGTGGGATCCTGCACCTTTTATTAATATTAGCATTCGAAATCTGGGGCAGTGAATTCCATCTATCAGAGGAGGGTGTTGAGGAACCACGTCCTAGACACCCTCCCTGTCTTCCAACTAACATAAAAGGTAGGGAGGGAAATGATGCTTATGGACCACAAACATAGACAGGTACTTAGGTGCATGCTCTGGTTCATCCTCATAGCTTCATGAGCTAGAATCCAGTATTTTTCAATTTTGCATGTGGGGAAATGAAGTCTCATAAGCAACTGACTGAGGATTTGCACACATCCATGTGTTTCTAGGCTCCCCAGATCACCTCCAAGCAATGGCACTGGGCTGGTCCAGGTTTTCCCTGCATATGCCACAGGCTTGTCCTTCTGGATGACAGGGCTGCATTTTGCCAAGCTGCTTTTCTTCCCACCCATCTCTGAACTTCTTTGGAACTTAACTCTGGTTTCCTGCTTGGTCCACTCTGACTTCCGATAGTAGGTGACCCTTCTGACTCACAGTTCCACTGCTGGGAAATGCCGCCAGGACTGCTGTCTGTCCTCTGTGCATCCTTCCAGGCCACAGGGTGTCCAGCCAGGACAAGCATAGAAGCACAGGGGCTGCAAACCCGGGCCTCCTAGTGATCAAGGTCTCAGGACTCCAGCTACTCCACCCACTTCAGCAGCTTTCTCCTAGATCACCAGGGAGCAGCAGGGTGGCAGGGGAGCCAGACACTGACTTTTAGGCTCCACTGCTCAGAAATGAGAGACTATACTGAAGTCATGTGGTGATCCAAGGTGGGAAAAAGGCTTAAGCTGCAGCTTGGGGGGATTTAAGTTAGGTAAGAGGAAACCCAGGACAATGCCTGTCCCTTCTGAGCTCTGTGTACCTTCGACAAACCACTGCTGCTTCTCCGCTGTGCTCCGTTCCCTACCTCCTTCCAGCTGTTCTTTCCTTTTCTCCTTCCTAAATGCTGATGTTTCTCAGGATCAGCTACTTTATGCATATGTAGTCCTGAATGTTTCATACACCACACGCGCGCGCGCGCGCGCACACACACACACACACACACACACACACACACACACACACACACACACACACACCAGTTGGCCCTGGGGCCCTGACTTGACTGGAGTGTAAGTCCCAACTCCTATTCTGAGCTGAGTCCCCTCCCCCAAGCATCTTGGGTCCTCCATCATTTTTCCTGACAGGAGCTGTGGGCGTCTGGACAGATGGGAACCTGGGGGAGATATGGGGGCCCCCTCCAAGTCAGGAAGCTCCCACACAACTGTAGTTAAAATACTCCAGCAGCTACTTGGGGCAGCCATCTGGCCCAGAGCTCTCTTAGGCACATCCCAGTTCTCAGCAGCAATGCTATGGGAACAAATTAAAACACTGAAGAGATGTCCTCAAAGGTGGTCTGAACTTGAGCCTTCTTTTTCTCCTTCAGGACTCGTATTGGGCAAAAGCAATCGATTTGAACCTTGGTTTAAGTGTTGGTGGTGGGTGATATAGTGTTCTGGACCTTGAGTCCTAACCCCAAGGCCCACCCCAGCAGCTGTGCTTGGTTCCATGGGAGAACAGGTCTTAGCCTCTAGCAGATGTCCAGCCACAACCTCCAGTATCCATCAGAGGCAGGACCCCAGAAAGGGTCTACTGAGCTTCAGACTCAGAAGATCTGAGCCTAGCCATAGATTGAGCCTCACTTCCTGTGTTTAGGAGGAGACAGACTCAGCCACAGAGGAAACCAGAGTCTGTTATAAATAGCAAGGAAGGCAGAGAGCTCTGTGGATTACAAACACCCATCAGTCTTAAACTCTATTTTTGGCTTCAGATGATAATTAGGATTTAATTAATGCTTTATGTAACCTCAACATGTTTCTCTTCTTCCTTTTTTTATTCTAAAGCAGAGTCTTTCTATGTAGCACAGGCTAGTCTTGAAACTCACAATCCTCCTGTCTCAGCCTCCAGAGCACTGGGATTACAGATGTGTGCCATCATACTTGGCACTTCAACATGGGCTCTTTACCTACTCTTCTACTTTGCTATGCTTTTCTAACACACTATTAGGGCCAAAGAGAGGAGCAGGTACAGCAGTTCTCAATGTCATCAAATCCTAGACTTGATAAGAACCTGCAAGTCACATTGTTCAGCCCTTTTATTTTCAACTGATGAAGTAGAGGCCAGAGAGGTAAAGAGGCTTGTCCAAAGTTGCAGAGTACAGTGAAGTGGGAGCTAAGGTATAAGACGGAAAGCTCAGTCCCTGTGCTCCTTTAGCAGGGCAGGCTCCAAGACAGCACAGAAAAGGCCCCCAAAGGCTAAACATGTAAGATTAGGGTGTCATGAGTTTATGTCTTGACAAAACGTTGATCAGAGTAAAATAATGAGACAGCCCAGAGGCTGAATTACAGTCTTCTGAGTCACAGAGATCTGGGCTTAGATCCAGTTCTGCCCCTTGCAAGCTACGTAACCTTTGTGCCAGTGATGTCACCACGCCAAGCAGCAGCTCCCCATATCTTAAAAGGAGGAGGAGCATGCTTTCCTCATCTCAGGACCACTGCAAGGTGGCAGCGAGGAATCCTGCACCAAGCATCTTGCTCAGTCCTTGCCACAAAACAGATGTCAATTTCCTTCACGTTTCCCATGAATTCTTCATTATTTCCCCAATAGAGTCCTCGAACTGGACAGAGGGGTCCAGTTATAAAGAAGAAGGGAGAAGTCTCAAAGGTGAGTGTGAACAAGACTGGGAGGGAGCAGGTTATGAGATTGAGGTGTCTTTAATGACGGGGCTGGGATGGAGTTCAGTGATAGAGTACTTGCCGAACATTGTTGAGGCCCTGGGTTTATCTTCATCTAAGCAGTCAGTACGAGATCCACTGGGTAGAGAGGCCAGATCTGCAGAAGTTTACCTGTGTTCTGCTGACTACTCCATGGCAACATCTCAGAAGCCAGGGTGTTTGCCAGAAGAAAGCCTTGGCCTGCTGGACCCTCACTGGGGTCCAGGTAAGTATAAACTTACCCTGTGACCACAGTGTGTCATAGCTGTTGCATGTAATATTTTCATCTAATCCTCACAATAATCTGTGAGGTAAGCACTGTTATCCCCATTTTGCAAAAGAGGAAATGGGCTCAAAGGTCACTTGGCTAGGGCAGTAGTCATTAGTGCTGTTCATGTATTTCTGGTGCTCTGCCTTCCAGAATAGAGTAGGGTTGAGTGGTAAGTGGCCATTCTACCTTAACCAATAAAATGTGGCAGAACTGAAAGTGCCACCTCTAGGTGAAACTTTTAAGAGCCATTTGAACTGTCATAGCTGTGCTGTTCATATAGCATACATAAGAAACTTTTATTGTGATAAGCCACTGAACTTCTGGGTTGCATGTTGCCCTGGCATAGCCTAGCCTACTCTGATAGGGCAAGGCAGAGTCAAAATCTGGAGCTCTCTGGTCTGTATGTGTTTTCCAGGGCCCCACCTGTCTTCACAGGGGTTCTGTCTTGGGGTTCTGATATTTTAGGCTGACTGGAGCCCTCTGGGGCAGGTGG